AACACATCACAGGTATTCACAAATAGCAAACATGGTAAGGGAAAACAAGTCACACAGATATCCCTTAGATTTCAGGCTGGCAAGGAGTTTAGGTATTACCCTCTTTCAGTTTAGTTGGTTCAACCTGTCCTAGAAATAGTAACCGGGTTCTAGAGGATCTCAATATCACTGACCACCCTCGATCGGTCATAATTCCAGTTTGGCAACCATTTCTTGCAGCCGGAATCATCGCGAGAGTTTGGTCTCAATGAGAGTAGCATACTGCTACTATTCTATGGCCAAGTTGCTCAATTATAGGTCCTAAGGTCAGTTGGTGCTTAATGACCCCTTAGAAGACCCATATTCTCCTTGTTCAACCACAAGGGATATCGGTACAAACTAAAGTGCCACACCAACGTAGCTACTGCTTCAACCGTATCGGTCTATGTCATACAGTTCCCTCAAAGTCTATTGCTACTTACCTAAAAGGTATCCCCCATATCCGGGTTAGGATCTATAGTAACTCCGATTCAAACCCACAAAGATAAAGCAAACAGATCAAACAATTGAAAACAATATGATGAACTAATCCTAAGGTACACCCCACTTATAATATCCCCAGCAGAGTCGCCAGTTCTGTGATACGATGGCCAGAACCGGGACGTGGTTTCCCTATTTTGTTAAGGAAATTTTGCTGGTTTGCATTTTGCGTTTGTGTTTGCAAAATGTCGCGGTAAGCAAGAGTCGCCATCGTCTTTTATTTTATCCAACAAGGAAAGGAAAAAGCACAGAAAAATTCCTTTTTCGAGATATTTCTGAGTACGGGGGGTAGATTATAGAAAGGGAAGGTATTATCACCCTTTCTATCCGTAGTTATCTACGGGCTCTTAGGTACTTGCTCATCATTTTCAAAATTGTTTTCTTTGTGTTTGTGGGTTTTGAAAAGTTTTTTGTTTTGACTTCGATTTAACTCTTGCTTCTATCTTCAAGAGTGTGATGAAGTGTTTTTGAAAACTTGTTTGTAAAAGAGTGTAAGTGTGGAAAAAGTTTTGTTTTATTTGAGAAAGTACTTAAGAACTAATCTACCTACTCGAAAAAGGAATCATTCTATACTTATTTCCTGTAGACAATGTTATCCCACTATTAGTGAGTAGGTAGCATCGTTGTTGGAGTTTTAAGGGTCAATTCGAAAAGGACGTACGGTCACTAAATCAATGTTAGGACGTCTTAGTAGTAACCCTAATGTCTTAGATCATTTATCCGAGGCAACAATATCCGAGGCAACCATTCCGAGGAAACTTTGATCTTTAGACAAAAGGACGACCACTAAAGCATCCTATACTCAATGACCGTTTACCGAAGGCAACCAAGTGGGAGTGTACCCTAGGAGTGCGCATGTGCGAATGATTCAATTTCAGTTTTTTTATCTTTGCACATTTAGGGTGATCTAACTGTTTTAAATTTAGTCATTCATTCTTGTCATGCAAACTCTATTATCAAACATCTAACCGTTGTAATTTGCAGAAATTAAATGCGGAATTTAAACTAACTATTACAAGGCGTCGGGTATTTACATCGCCAAAAACAACGCTTAGAAAATAAAATAAAGCGGTAAAAATAATAAATGTCCTATTTAAAACTATTACAAGCCGGGAGCAGATACATCAATAATTAAATAAGGAAAAATAAATCGCGCGAGTGAAATTAAGTCGAATGCGAATTAGGGTTTTGACCCTTTTTAAAAGGAAATGTTTTTGTTGTTTTTACTTTAAGAAAAGAAATTAAATCCTAAATTAAATACTAAATTAATTATAAACTAAATTAATTGATAAAAAATAATAAATGACATATTTTTGGAGTTTTTGATATTTTAAGAAAGAAAATAAAAATAATTAAACTAAAATTAAAACCTAATTAATTCTAATTGATTTTAAATATTTACAAAAAATAAAATTAAAGTTATTCTAGAATTAAACCTAATTAATTAGTTACTATTTATTAATAAAAAATAAAATTCTGAATTTTAATTGGATGAAAAGTATTTTTGTGATTTTTTTGATAAAAAAGAAAATTTGTTTTTGGTTAGTAAATTAATTAAACAAAATAAAGTAAATAAATTAAATAAATAAAGTGTGAGAAAGAGAAATTGGGCCTGATTATGGAGGTGTCCATAGCAAATATGTTGGCCCATTAATGAAAATCCATTTGACTTTTTGATCCAGCGTATGCGTGTTGATTGGCTTATGGTGTGCCCTTGAAACTTGACCACCAGATCTGGCCATCTGGCCATCTGGCGCTTTGATAATGAGTGTCCATGATGGAAATCTGGCCCATGCATGCACATGATCTCCTGAAAGAAATTGGAAAAATAACAAATGCTGGAGGCAGGGATCGAACCCCTGACCTCCAGCCTCTGAATGCCTTAACGCTAACGTGGTGACCGTTGGGCTATGCTGTTCTATTTGTTAACAAAATACAAAATAACAATAATATAAGAAAATAAATGCGTTAGTGGAATTTTGGCACGGAATTCAAACAGACCAACAGAGGGGTGATAACGCATCATCCTCTTCCTCCAAAACCTGCAACTTTTACCTGCGGATTTTTATCCGCAGCTAAAAGCGTAGCTTCCTCCTAAAATCTTCCCCGGGCCATATAAATGCATCCTAAGAACATGGTTGAGTTCTTCTCAACCTACTGATCACAACCATAACCATTATCATGGCCAATTTTTCCTGAAACGAAAAACCCCAAAAACAAGAACCAAACCTTAGCAATGGTGGATCTCCATATAGGTCAGATGAATGCAATTGGTTATTACAAAAAGCTTGCAAATGATGCGTGGATTAAGAATATGCAATTGTTTCATGTTAACAATGCCTAAATTGGAAAATACAAAATCAAAAATATTGTGAATCCGTAGATGACTTACAGAGCTCTAGGAGGCTTTAAAACGCGTGGTCTGGATTGGTTTCGCTTGTGGATATGGCCAGGAAGAGATTGAGATAAGTCTCAAGTCTTGAAATTGCCTCTAGGATTGATTTCAAAGTCACACTTTTTCTTGATTTTTGTCAACTTCGTTCTGCCTCAAGAACTGATCTCTAACCCCTGAAATTGTCTGCCTCGCCTCCTTATGTATTGTACAATACATTAGGGTTGTTTTTACTGTCCAAATCCTCCTCTATCAATGCTTGAATATTTGATTTGATCTCCTTTTACAACCTTCCAATTTTGGCTTGATTTGGATCTTTTTGTGTACAGTTGCTTTGATACGAATTTGATATGGTGCAAGCTGTCTAACAAGACCTGAAATGATCACAAGATGTTTAGTTTTCAATGTTTTTGATTTTATATGATTTTTTTTATTTGATTTAAAATGAATTAATTCAAATAAAAATAAAATTAAATAATAAAAATATGATATGGACACATGGGCAAGGCTAGAGCACGTGGGCAATAATGCAAACTCAAAACAAGTGAAAAAGAATGGGCCCATTTGGCAAAATTTGAAGTTTTGGGGATAGTTGACTTTAGGCAATTTTGCAAAAAAGTCTAACTTCAACAATGCATAACTTCCTCAATTTTGAACTTTTGGAGGTGTTCTTGGACTTTTTAGAAAGCTTGAGATCTCCTATAACCAACTCCTTTGGTCTCATCTTATTTTGATATTCCATGTTCAAGTTAGAAGCTTTGACAAAAAAGGTGTTTTTGTTGACTTTCAAAAATGACCTATAATGTCAAAATTCATAACTTCTTGTGAGTGCATATTTTGATCTTGGGGTATGAATATGGATTGTAGGTAATTTCATCCTATTCAAAATGAGCTTTGGATGGGTCATTTCTCATAAAGTATGAGAAAGTTATGCTTGGTCAAAGTTGAGTTGACTTTTCCTACAAAACCCTAATTTAGCAACTTTTGAATCTTGATGAATTGTGAGCAATCCTTGATTAATCATGGTCAACCCTTGATCAAATTATTAAATACACTTCAAAATGAGAATGTTTACAAAAAATCTTGAAGTTTGACTGTATTTGGGTCATAGTTGACTTTTGCCCTAACATAGTTGATTTTCAGGCCTTTTGAGCAATTGACTGGGCAAAATTCCTCTGCAAGGATTGAAACTTGACATGGATGATCTTGATAATATATTAGGACATTTGTGAGCACTTGGGGTCACTTGTACTCTAGGATCTTGATGCAACACAAAACCCTAATTTGAGTAGACTGCCTTAGGAAAGAGCTTGTCTGGCCAACCCTTGGACTACTTTGAGCAATTTGGAGATCTTTCTTGCAATGTTTTGAGAAATATGGGAGGGTAAATTTTGGGGTACAACAATTGCAGATGAAGCATGACCAAGTCAATGCGGTGAGGAAGATGTATGATAAAGTTGCAGCAAGGTTCCCAATTGAGAGAATCAGAGAGAGAGGAATCTGGAATTCTTCAGTTGTTCCTCGAGGAAAAAGTTGAGAGCATTAACCGTGGTTCTTGGGGGCGAGCCAGATTGAAGTAGAAGATGAGTGAATAAAAATGGAGGAAATGGTTAAGAGAAGAGAGGTTGCAGAGAGATCTCATGAAGAGGGTGAAGAATGAATTCATGAAATTCTGGCCAACCTGCTGAATGAAGGTGAGTTTTGCTTATATAGGTTGATGAAGGTAGTGAAAGAGGTTAGAGAAGAGAGGTTCAGAGCCATTGATGATTGCCAGTTTGTTAGAAGATTCAAGGGTCAAGATTGAATCAATTAGGGAGTTAGTTTTGGTTGGGAATTGCTAACTTTGTTATATTCGGTTAGTTTGGTATTTGTTAGATACAGTTAGGGAATTTTGCTAAGATCCTATTGTGAAATCAGTTTCTATTTTTGAATGTTGATTGGAAGTTAGTTACAGGCGGTTAGGAGGTTAGAAAGTCGGTTGGAATTTAGTTAGAGTTAGTTTTTAGATTAGAAACTGTTTTTTGTTATGACAGTAATGGCCTGGGTTTTTTGATGAACTGTTTTTTTTGGGTATTTTGCAGGGTCATTTTTATAACAAAGAAAGAAGGTGCACTTCATTCAAAACTAGGAGCGGCCTGAGAAGGTTTTGAAGCACCAAAAGATGCTGACCCATAAGGTTTTGGAGTGGTAAAAGACGCTGAACCGTAAGAGGGTGTTGGGGGGAAACTCTCTGAGGAGAACTGGCCTTCCGACTACCCAGTAGATCAAGCTCTATTGTAGAGAAATACTGAGAAGGAATTTCCATCAATGCTGCGAGAGCAAAAGCCGCCTCTTTTCGTGAAGGAGGAATGTTTTTTTTTTACATGATTTCCGTGAAATTCACAAACTGGAAATTATCAAAGACCCTGGCTGGCATATTTTCATCAAATTTCTTCATCATGTCCCAAGGTCCATCTCCAACACCGATCAATATGATCGAAAGAGGAAATTTATTGGCTTTAACAATGGCATCCACAATTTTCTATTCCTATGGACTAAGCCTCGCTTGATCAGTGTCAACACTTCTTGTAACCTGGCCAACTGCAATTTATCACTAAAACATGGTATTGTCCTCCACTTTGCTCAACAACTGTCATTTCCATTTCAACAACGGGTGCAAAGGATGTAGGGCCTGCAAGCCGAACATTAGGAACAATTTCCCTATACCGACTTAGAACTTCTTCAAATTCATTGCAAAATATTTCGTCTGGATAGAAACTGAAGACATCTTGATCATGTGTTGATGCATCTCCAAATCCAAAACTAGGAATCAAGTTATCCTCATCAAATGCGGCCAAGGTTTTTCCAACGAAGGATATTGCTTGTTCATAGGGATTTGGACCATTCCCGATGTGATGCAAACTTTTTATGTTAAGTGAATGCATTCCTGTCCACTTATTGCTCTTGGTGAAGTCAATTCCAAGAATAAGATTGAAAGACTCAAGGCCTACACGTGCAAGAGCCTCAGTCACCTCATCTATGGAGTTGTAACTATCAACAATCCTTGAGTATTTCCTCTCTAACTTTCTCTTATCGTCTTGACGGGGCACTCTACCACTAGTATGAGGCTCATGGTCATAATTTTGTGGAGGAGGAGGCCGGGTATCATAATACGGTTGATAAGAAAGCTGATGTGCATCATAGCTATATGGATAACCACCCTGACCGTAACCCAATTGAGGATCAGGATATGAATTCCACGAAGAAGCAGAAGCAGGTGAACTTGGTCTCAAAGATGAATCTCGCCTCAAATTTTCCTCTTTAGAACTTTATCCCCCTATCAACTTAATTCTTTGAATTTTGTTTTTGTTTTTTCTTTGGTTATTGATGAATGCAGATCTGGAATTTGGTTGTAGACCTGTGATGCTTAATTGCTTTTGTTTATGACTGCTTTTGAATATTTAGTTTAAATTTTTGTTTTGATTTAGTAATTTTGGATGTATATGGCCTTTGTAAATTTCTCTTGGAATGCTCCAATAACATAGCTTGTAAATTGCATGGTTATGACCGAGAATGAAGTTGGATAATATTTTGACAAGTCATGCTTGATATTGAGAACTTGTAAAGATCATATCATTGAATAAACGTGAACCCTTGGATCTTGATAAGTTTTGATGAACAAAACTAAACGAATAACCTTGAATGATGTCATGACTTGTAACTCTTTGCAAATTCGTAAATTGTACACCAAGAGAACCATATGAACGAATCTTCTAACTTCATCTTGAATCAACCATTGCTAAATCATGAAATCGAGACCTTGAGATAATATTAATCTTGAGCACAATTAGTAGTTTCAATGAATCCAGATCGCTAGTCATTTCCCTCAATAGTCCAAGTTAAATTGCAATTGAAGTAACAAATATTTGATGAGAACCAAAGATTGTATTGTTCGAAACAAGTCCACGATGTTGAAGAAGGAGAACCCAAGATAACCACAAAATTGAGCCCTACTCCAATGATCTCCAAATGAAGCATAACAGAAGAAAACCCTAATTCTTAAGCATTGACGAAAGATTGCAACCTGATGCTGAGGGGAGAGAATATCCCTAATTCCTCGAAATCCCTGATTTCAAGTCGAACTATCGACTAATGATGCATGATGCGTCAGATGACTTATTGAAGGTTACGTACCTCAATCTCAATTAAATCCACAGATTCTAGCCACCTTCCATTTGAAGCGACCAACCACCATTCCGAGGGAGAAACCCTAATGCCAAAGCTCTTTGATCTTATAACCATGAGGCCAATGCTATGTGCGAAATGTATGAAGTATAATGAGGGATCTTAGGGGAAAAAATTGGGGTACAACAACTTCCCTTATTTAAGTGTCTTCTATCCGGAGATACAAAGATTAAAATCTTCGTTTCGAAGCGATTGAAGATACTTAAATATAAAACAAGCCATATTTTTGACCCTAAGATACCATGCAATGCTTATGATTATGGATGCAGATAGACAAATCTAGAGACGCAAGACACCACTGGGGATGTAGCAAAGGAAACAAAAATCGAAAAGAAACCCAACCAGGAAAATAAATCACTGGTGAGAAAAAAATGTGGCTCTATTGGGGTAAAACCCAAAGAAGAGATAAGGTGGCATCAACTCAATAAATGAGGAAAAAGGAAGTGGGTAACAACGATCAACAGATAACTGTGAACTAACAACTCAATAGTCGAAGGTAGAAACGTAATAAGATACCAGCTCACAGATGACAGTAAACTACCAATTCGATAGTCGAAGGTAGAAGATAAAAAAGAAACCGACACACAGATGACGGTAAACTACCAACTCAATAGTCGAAGGTAGAAGATCAAAAAGATACCGACTCACAGATGACGGTAAACTACCGACTCAATAGTCGAAGGTAGAAGATAAAAAAGATACCGACTCACAGATGATGGTGAACTACCCACTCAATAGTCGAAGGTAGAAGATAAAGAGATACCGATTCACGGATGACAATAAACTACCAATTCGATAGTCGAAGGTAGAAGATCAAGATACCGACTCACAGATGACAATAAACTACCAACTTGATAGTCGAAGGTAGAAGATTAAAAAGAAACCGACTCACAGATGACGGTAAACTACCAACTCAATAGTCGAAGGTAGAAGATCAAAAAGATACCGACTCACAGATGACTGTAAACTACCGACTCAATAGTCGAAGGTAGAAGATCAAAAAGATACTGACTCACAGATGACGGTAAACTACCGACTCAATAGTTGAAGGTAGAAGATCAATATGATACCGACTCACAGATGACGGTAAACTATCGACTCAATAGTCGAAGGTAAAAGATAAAAAAAGATACCGACTCACAAATGACGGTAAACTACCAACTTAATGGTTGAAGGTAGAAGATCAAAAATATATCGACTCATAGATGACGGTAAACTACCAACTCAATAGTTGAAGGTAGAGAGGAAGGATTAATAATAACAAGTTTCCCAAAATCATGGCTTTTCACTAAGAACGGATCTTAACTTCTTCTTTAACCAAGGCATTCCGCCTGGAAAGGGTAATATATAAGCTGTCTCAAATAACGAGACTACCACTTATAAAGATTTCTCAACAAATTATCTCTACGATATTGAAAGACTTGCCATCCACTGGAGTAATTTGACAATGAACTGCAAACTGTCCACTCATAGAGAAGATAGCAAAAAAGTAACGTCGACTTTTATGGGGAAGTACAAGTTGCTCAAATAAAGAGACCTGCTACTTGCTGTTATAGGAAGGATTGTAAAAATGACTTTCTGGGGAAAGCAATATGACTTCCTGGGGAATGAATCATGACTTCCTGGGGAATGAATCATGAATTCCTAGGGAAAGCATCATGACTTCCTGGTGAATGAATCATGACTTCCTGGTGAATGAATCATGACTTCCTAGGGAATGAAATACAGCTTCCTGGGGACATGCCAACATATTCCTACTGAGGAAATAAAATCTTCTTGTGCAAAATAAATGCACATTATCAAACCAAGGCCCAAAGCATGAAGAAATCCAAGGTAATAATATTGTTGGGAACCAAATATTCAAACCAGAAATAAACCAGAATGAATTAGTCAACCAAAATACATCCTTTGAGAAATAAATTCAAGAGGGAAACCCAAATCATCCAGACAAAGAGTTGTACAGGAAGGCTAAAGCAAAAATCTTCCACGAGGGACAACTCAGTGGGGAAATTGAAAGAATATACACTTTCTGCTTAAGGTTCACACTCTATTAGAAAGAGGACAACACGACTCTGCAAAATAGGGTAATATGTCAACAAAATATTAATGAATGTGAATGAGCAATGATTTGCTAAATTCAACTATGTATGATGTATGTATGAATGTATGAGTGTTATTATGTATATGCTAACAAAACATGCATATAACACTGGGAGTAACCAGGCAAAACCAACTCGGGTATAGTCAACACTCGGCTAAATCACATCCAAGATGAACATTCCATGAGAAAATAAGCACCAACTGAGGAAACAAAATCCTATTCTGCGGCTTAACTTCACTGGGAAGGAACATAATCCGGAAGTAATCAAATCATAGTGCTAAAATAGTACAGAACAAGGATATAACATCCTTCTCCAGGCTTCACCGGGGAATAGCACATAGACTTCAACAGGGAAAACAAATGTTTCACGATCTATAATTCTACTGGGGATTGAAAAACTGATTTAAAATAAGGAAGATGGAAACCAAATTATCAAAACATCCACTGAGGAATTCAAGTTGACTTCAATGGAGAAATATCATACAAACTTCACTAGAGGAGATAATGGCTCATCATCGAGATATCAATTGGGGACCTCGTGCTGACTTCATTGGGGAGGCCAATACCACATCGAAGAGGGGAAACCAAGATATGTTCTTCACTAGGGAAACCAGAAATACGTTCTTCAATACTGAGAGTAAGTATTGCACCAACTTCTCTGGGGAAAAAGTATGAAATCTCATGGGGACAACAACTTGAAGAGTTAAGAAGTCAAATATTATAGCAAGGAATCAATCTTATGGGGATTTTAAATCAAACCCAACACTTGGAGAGTGAAAACCCAAAAAATTGATAATCAATTCATCACTTCTTAAATAAAACACTGCCCTTGCCTGATTATCGGGCAATCAAAGGAAATGCAAGTACTTCCGAGAGGGAGATGCTTCGTAAATGAGTCCAACTCAGTATGCACGGGGAGAAAGGACTTTTATCAAACAACAAAGTCTTCACTGGGGAATCTCAGATTGAGTCTTCATATCATACAAACCTCTTCAAATAAAAAGATGCCCTGGGATAGCCTTCCTGGGGAATCGAGAAGTCAACATCAAAGAAAGAGGTCAAACCTATGGGAATTTTAAATCAAACCCAACACTTGGCGGGTGAAAACCCAAAGAGTTCATAACCGTCTCAACACTTCTTAGAAAATATACCGTCAATAATGCCAATACTGCAGAAAGAGCGACATTTTGCAAATAATTCCATCTCAGCACCAAGGGAACAAGACCTTTCATCATATGAGGGAAGACTCCGCTGGGGAATCTGGGATAGAGGCCTCAGACCATGCAAACCCCAAAAAAAATATGAACCAAGACTTGATTGGGGACAATATGATCACAAACCCAATACCACACCTTACGCCAATTGGTATCGTCTTCAATATACAAAAATCACGCGCATACCAGCGAAAACGACCTGAGAAAACCTTCCCGGGGAATCCAGAAGTTCACATTATAGCAAGAGGTCAAAATTATGGGGATTTTAAATCAAACTCAACACTTGGTGAGAGAAAAACCCAAAGATTTGATAACCATTTCAACACTTCTTAGAAAAGATATTGCCCTCGTCAAGCTACTTAGGGAGCACATAACAACAATAATGTTGTAACTGGAGGGAGCAATACTCTACAAGAGATTCCATATCAATACAAAGGGAGAAAGAACTCCATCAAATGAGAAAAGGATTCATAGCTCTTTTTAATCTCCGTTTGATCACCACCTGGCTGGGGAAAGAATCACACTCAGCTGGAGAAGTCTACAACAAGACTGGAAAAATGGGATTATAAACCCAACACCATAACACATCCTGTAGGAAAAACCTTTAATTGATCAACAATTGTTAGAGGAATCTAAACACATGTCTACAAAACAGGTCACAAGAAACAATCCTGCTTGAGGAAGATTCTCGGCTTGGGGTAGACATAGTAACTATCTTCATGAAATCTAGATATGCCCTTGGAAACCAATATGGTGTCCCAAGCTTACCGTGATGATCAAGGTAACTTTCATAACCTGCCTTTGGCTGCATGCTTTTAAGATAACCTTTCTGAACAAATTGCTTATAGAGATTTGTCGAATCTTGACGTAACTGCCCTAGATTGGCTTAATGTTACATCATTTTTACATCACAACTCTTCTCGGCAACATGCCTTTTGCTGATACTCAAATGTAAACTTTCGTGATATCAACCAGTTGTTTTACAATCATAAAAAAATTTATTCTAAGAATGAAAATTCTAATGCAACAATTATGTAAGTCTTGAAGATTTTATTTGAAAAGATGTCGCAAAACCTTGTGAACGAATCACTAGCCAGGATGCGACGTGGATTTTTTTTGTATGAAAGATAACAAAAGCATATTATACCAATCACAATAATTTATCAAAATTAATGGGAGTCAGGAAACACTATTTCATTGGAGTATGCTTTCGAAATAAACCATGTTTCAATTAGGACTTTTGAGGGTTGTAATGTGGCCTGGTTCACAGTTTTAGGGAAAAAAAAGATTTAAGGCTCAAAAATATTTGGTTCCCACCCCCTTCGTGATGTTCTTCAGTCCTAAGTTTAGTTAACCTGAGACGAACATTCATCTCTCAAGAAATTTTGAGATGGTTGAGGAATCAAACAAGGTTTTCTTTGGACATGCAAGTCACTTATTCTTGCTCCTTTTGGGTTTCTTGTCACGCGACTATGTTC